AACCCAGTGCAAAGCACATCTGCCGGAGCATCCCTGGTAGGGGGCAAACAGCCCCAAAGCAGGAAAATGATGCGTTTGAAGGATTTCTGAGTGGCTCTGGACAACCTGATGCTGCAGTCCTTCCTCTGGGCAGACCCATTTGGGCTTTTTCTCCCTTTTACTTGCCAGTCAGAGTGCAGGCACAGGCACTCTGCTTGACTCTTCCTTTCCCACAGGGGAGCCAAAATGTTACTTCTCACTGAAAGCATGAGGCAATTCTTAAATGACCAAACTGCATCTCCCTAGAGAGATCCCACTTCCCCATCTCTGTCCCCCGCCCTGGCCCCCATCCCTACCTACCCCAGACTGGGACAGTGTTGCCCTGCATAGACCAAACTCAAATCTCCCTGACAAAAATCTTCCTTTTCATCACCCACTCAGTTCTTCCACCTAGAACAGCTTTCAGACAAGCCACAGGCCCCAGTGACACAAACCTGCTGTCTCAGCCATGGGCTGCAAGGGGAGGGAAGGATGAACTCACACCAGAGTGCCTGTGCACGTGGGACCAAACACCAGCTCACTGCTGTCTGTAGCTCAGCTCATGTAACTCCTGACGTTTTCCTTAGAAACACCACGGCAAAGCAAATGAGGGCTTTGATGTGGCTACATGCTTAATAGGCAGGGTAAAATACAAACAATATTTGCCTCTCTGCTGTAACTTCAAAGACCTCCCTAGTATAATTACTTTTTTAGAAGACAGGTGATCTAGCAGGAAAAAAAGAGATCTGATGTGAGGGAGGTCATCAAAGGAAAGGTAAGTTTTGAAGAGGAGTGATTCACTTTGCTCTGAGCTGGGACAGCAAAGACCTCCGTAGAAGTGTCTGGGCTGAATTTGCACGATTAATCACGGGCTAATGGGGTGATTGGTTTGGGCACAAAGTACCTGAGTCACATCCTGGATCCCAGCTGCCATCGAAGGCTGTGAATCCTGCACCAGCTGCCAGCACGAGCTCTCCATTCAGGGGCAGGTACTAGAGGAAGGGATTCACAGTGTTACTGTGTGGTCCTGCTGCCAGACACCCAGGCTCCTAATCAAATAACAGTGCTAATTATTAGGCTAATTATTACACTCACAGTCTCCCAGGCACTTCACAGTCATCAGGAGCTACCCTCACCATGCCCCATGTAAATGGGGAAGTATCAGCTCCTGGTTTTACAGACAGGGACACTGCGATGGGGAGAGACAGTTTGACGTTATCTTCCATAACACAGAAAAGCATGAAGCGTTGAGGGAAGCAAGAACAAGGAAAAAGAAAAAAAATCTCTCTTGACAGCTTCTTTCTCCTTCTGCATGCACTCCCAGCAGCTCAGGAATGGATTTAAACATTGGCATGCCTGAAAACCCAACCTCACTCTGCAAGTACCAGAGGTCTCCTCATCGTATGGGTTCCCACCTCTGGGGACTGTGCTTGCCCAACAAATATAACTCAGGGGCCTAAGCTATGCTTGGTGCCGTGTCAGCTAGTGAACTCACTCTAGATACCAGCTGAGGAAAGCACACAGAAGCGTTTGGAGCAGCTTACCATAGCTAGACTCTCTTCTTGTTGGGTAGGACATCACTGGCACATAGGGTCACCATACCGACCTGGCTTCAGTCTGGCCAAGGACACACCTCTTCAGGCACTGCTCTGCCATGAGAGCCCTTTTGGCAAGAAAGTGTGGCCACCCAGTTTACCAGCTGGCACTGCCAACTGCAGGACAGGCCCTGACAAACGATTGAGTCAGATGACTCGTTCACAGCACCCAAGTCATTCAGCTCAACCCATTTTATTCACACTTGGAAATTGCCAGAGAGAAAGTCATGCTTCCCACCAGTATTTTCGAGCAAGTGATGTTCAAGGCTCCCTTGCCTATCTTGGTCTCTCCAGGGTTTTAGCATCACTCCCCAGACAGAAGCTGGAAGCCCTCCAGGACTGCGTTATGCCGACACACTGAGTCCTGTGCTCAGGCAGACACACATTAAATGGGATTTTAAGGTTTCATCTACTTAATTGGTCTTTAAATATGTATGTAGGTTAGAGTAAGCAAGACTTAAGACTGACTGCTGGGGGTGACAGTGACAGCTCTCTGTCCTTGGGGCAGTCCTGCCTGAGGATGCTCTGTCCCACTCAGGGACCACCACAGGGAAGGACTGGGGGAGGTGGACATGGCAAAATGCTCCTCACCCCCAAGCTGCAGGCAGCTGCTTAGAATTTTAGTGCCTTGGTGGTTCAGTCCTTTGAAGGACATAGCCCATATTCTTGACAAGGAATATGAGAAGCCAGGATGGAGAGCAGAGAGTGGCTGCCATGGAGAAGAGCCCCACAGTTCTCCTCCTCTGTACTATCTGCTTCAGACCCAGACATGTCATATGTGAGGCAGGACAAGAGGAGATGACACCATGAATAGCTGAGGCCTGGGCAACGTCTGCCCCAAGGGGATGAAGTCTCCCCATCAGCCAGGAAGAAGCCTTTGCCTATGGACACTGCTCCTTCAGACCATAGTATGTGTCCTGCCATCAGGCTCTGTGAATTTCTGCTGCTTTTAGGAAAAGCAAATTTTTCCAACACTGAAGCACTGAGAGGCTGAAAGGCCTGCCAGGATACAAATGGCAACATGCCCTTTAGCTGCAGACACAGAAGCCATGTCTACTGATGTTCTGAGGCTCAGGACTTGGCTGCCTTTGAGCTGGGTGAGGGCTGTGCTACCAGCTTCTTTCATAAAAAGAAACCACTTCAATTCAAATGCTTGTTTTCCTGTGAGCCCATGCAGGTGGACACTTTGGAGCAGTCAGTTGATGCCTATACCCAAGGCAATACCAGGGCAATGCCAGCCAAGTCCCTTCTCCCAGGCCTGCTAAGCCATTTCAGACTGGAGCCCTCACTGCTGCCTCTTGCCCAGTTTGCAGGCTGGCACCCTGCAGCCTGCTGTGGGCCACAGGGCCAAGCAGGAAGGGTGGCCAGCTGGCTGCTGGGCCCCACCTGAGCTGCTCAGCATGGGGTTTTGGATGGGATGCAGTGGATCCTCTCACCAGTGCAGGGTACCAGCTCTTCACAGCAGTCAGCTCTGGGCCCTCAGGCCCAAAGCTGCAGGGAACTTTGGGTGGAAGAAGGAAAATCAAGCAGCAGCTGTGGGTGAGGGGGATGGTTACCCAGCAGGACCATGACTGACCTCCACTTGCTTTCCCAGGCTGCAGAAGTTGGCCTTTGTGAGTGTTGTGGCTGGATCAAGATCTCCTTGAACTCTGACAGACTTGGTGCCCCGAGCACTTCCCTGTACAGGGCTCTTCCTTCACTTTGCTTTGTCACAGGAATTTGTGGGGCTGGTCCCCACAGCTGTGGCTCTTTGGCCACCACCATTCCCCAAGGTGCACACCACTGGGCAGCACTTCAGAAGTGGCTCCATCCTCCAGTGGATCTTCATATATAATTTGTCCTTTCTTTTTTTCCTAACATAAGTTAAGCATCTTGGCTCACTGCAGAGGACAAATGGATGCTCCGTTCGGGCAGAGGCTTTCTGCCTTTGGGAGTTCAGCATAGAAATTGCATATAGGTTGGGCCACTTTCCAAGTACATTTTGAACTAAGCAATGACATGTACCAATGGACCAGAGCCAAAAAGCTGGCAGTTTCATCTGCTTTCCCTTCCTCCTGCCAACCTGTGCTCCAAGGCCATTAATACAGACCAGTTAGAGTCCCATTAGTCATTTGCCATCCCTGATACTGGTAAATCACTTATCTCCTCGGTCATCGTTATCAAGTGTAATGACAACTGAAACACAGTCATCATTTTTCTTATCAGTCAGCAAAAAAATAAAAAAGAAAGACCCCATGTGGCTCTTGGCCCAGCCCCAGCATTGCACCACTGACAAGGAATCCACTGCCCCAGTGCCTAAGTGAAAATGAAACTAATGTCTGAAATGTGAAAGAAAAAAATTAACAAAGGCCTGAGGTGGCTTTTCCAGTGGATGACTTTGAACCAGTCTCTGGCATATCCTGGTACCACTTGAGTTCACTGACCTGCTTGCTGGAGAGCAGCTCTGCACAGAAGGGCCTGAGGATCCTGGTGGCCAACAGGCTGTCCATGGGTCACAGTGTGTCCTTGTGGCCAAGAAGGCCAATGGAATCCTGGGATGCATTAGGAAGAGCATTGCCAGCAGGTCAGGGAGGTGATCCTGCCTCTCTCCTCAGCCCTCATTGGGCCACACCTGGAGAGTTGTGCCCAGTTCTGGGCTCCTCAGCACCAGAGGGACATGGAGCTCCTGGAGCAGCTCCAGCACAGGGCAACAAAAATGCTGAAGGGACTGAGGTCAGTGATGAGGAAAGGCTGAGGGAGTTGGGGCTGTTCAGCCTCAAGAAGTGATGTCTGAGAGGGACCTCATGAATGGATTCAAGTCCATGAATGGGAAGTGCCAAGAGGATGATCAGACTCTGATCAGTGGGGGAAAACGATAAAACAAGAGGGAACAGTAAAAACTGATGCCCAGGAAGCTCCACCTGAACACGAGGAAGAACTTCATTGCTGTGCAGTCACTGAGCACTGAACACATTGCCCAGAGAGGTCGTGGATTCTCCCTCACTGAAAGCATCTAAGAACCATCTGGACACAATCCTGAGCCATGTGCTCTGGGGCTGGCCCTGCCTGAGCAGGGAGGTTGGACCAGATGACCCACTGTGGTTCCTTCCAACCTAACTGATTCTGTGGTTCTGTGTCACAAGCATTGGGCTGAGATGACTGGCAGCAGCAGAACAAATGGCACATCATCATCATTACCACAGGAAAAATGCAGCACAACTTCTTTGAACCCGGGTGAGCAATGCTCACCATTGCATCAGGCTCTTGCCCCAGCCTTACTTTTACTTGCAGCATCAACGCGTTTGAATTCCTTGCTTGGGTGAGACGGTGCCACCACCCCCATCGTCCAACACCAAGAGTGCCTGGGCACACTGGGCTCTGCAGCACTGTATCTATGGTGCCCATCGTGCTCTACACAGCCCCTGGGTACATCCCCTCACCCAGTACTCAGCCCAGGAGCAGTTTTACCCTGGGGCTGGTGGCACTCCATGGAAAAACATTGCTGGGTAAGACATGAGTGGGTTGTTTCTCCAACACGGAGTGCTGTAACCAAGCACAAGCAATAATGCACAATGCAAATGATTTCCACATCATCTTTCCCAGCCCTGCTCTGCTGGGGCAGCAGCAGCCCACGTTCAGCAGCAATGCAGCTGGGGCAGAAGGCAGGCAGCCCCTGCCTGTGCTGCACACCAGTGGGAATAGCAGGGGTTTTCCCAATGCCCACTGGGGGTCTCAGTGCAGCTGGTGGTGGTGCCTGGGTGGTATCCAGCTGCTGGCTGACAGCCCTGGGAAGGCTCAGAGCCAGATTCACCCACAGGTGCATCCCTTTGATATTTCTGGAGCACTGCCAGGGGCTCCCTCACAGCAACGTGTCTTGGGTTCATTATTGGGGGTTTGTTAGCTCATTTTTCTGCCCAGGTGAAGCTTCCACCTGCGCCCTCAGGACAGCATCCTTCCCCCAGCAGCACACACCACCCACATCCCCAGCTTGCTGCCAGAGCCAACCTGTCCCTGCCATGGCCCCCAGTCCTGCACCAGCTAACCCAGATCCCCAGTGAGAGGGATTGGCAAGGCAGGATGACCTGTGGCCACCTCAATAGCTCTGTGCAAGTCAAGGAGGGTGACCAGCTACTGGACAGCAGGCACCTTAACTGCCCAAATATCTCCCTGCCCAGGCACATAGTCCCATGAGAAACAGGGGTTTAGCATCCCAAGGAAGCTAGGCAAGAAATGCAGCCTGTATCCTCATGAAGTCCATGCCCAGGCAGGCTGGTGCAGCACAGATCAGGGCACAGAAGCTGGTGTTCCTTCCTACAGGACCCACCAGCAGTGGTGGGCAGATGCTCACCATCGCTCTGATTCCACCAGGAGCAAGCAGGAGCACCTGCAAAGGAATGGTGTGGCAGTAGGACGTCATCATCTCAGTGTCATCCCCTGCAAAGTAATGACAAGGTAATCCCCTCCTGCCAGGCAGCCCCAGCAGCAGCAGCAGCAGCAGCTCAGCCACACTTTCATTAATGCAGAAGCTGACTCCTCTGCTGTGACTGCTCGTCACGTTTTACGTTGTGTTTTGAGGCACAGCTCACCACATCACCTGCCCAAGCTGGCCTTGCCACCACTTCCCCTGGCACAGGGGTGACCTGACACATCAGATTCCCAACACATTACGGTCCTGCCCATCCCCACAAAGGAGCCACAGCTCCTGGCCAGCACAGACCCTGCCAAAGCACCCACAGACCCCAGTGAAAGTCATGGGGGGAATAAAAAAAGAACAGTGGACCCAAAAAGCTCATTCATTTGCTTGCAGATCCCCAGCATACATACAGTTCAGGGTGCAGTGGACACATGTCCCAGCAGTGTGCAGAAATCCTGTGTCCCAGGGAGACATGGGGACACCAGCAGCCCCTTGGGGAGCAGATCAAAGCAAACCAGTCCAAAACACTTGAGCTATGGACACAGAAGGCAATGAGAGGCTTCAAGCCAAACCTATTACAGGTTAGTTCAGCTCCTTATCCTGAACTTCCCTTCACAGACAAGGTCAGAGAGACCTGGGAAGTGGCTCAAGCAGTGGCAGGGGAGTCACCCCCTGCAGTGAAGGGATGGCAGAAGGTCCATGGACCAGCCCCCCAGCCAGACCTGCCCCAGCATCCGCTACAGCCCAGGGGGCCAACAAGCTGCTCTGCTCATCACAGACCTTCATAACTCCTCCTGCTGGAAACCAGCCCGGAAGGAGCAAATAAACTCAGGGACATGACTGTAAAACACTAGTTTACCACACTCCTTTCCTAGGGCACACCTCCAGTGTGAGTGCTGACGGAGAAAAGCCTGTGGGATTCGGGCTTGGAATTACGTGTTGGCACACGCACACACATACACACTGCTCTGAAATTTTATACCTTCATCTCAGGAGCAGAAAAAAATCATCCTTTTTCTGGGTGTCTCATTACCCCTCTGTCTGGGAAGCAGCAGGGGAGGGAGTGCCGGTGCCTGGGACGAGTGAAAACTGTGGCAATTCATTAGAACCGGTGCCCCTGGAGAGCAATTGGCATTTCGAGATCAATCTCTGCCAGGAACCGAGCGGGAGCATCCTGCAGCAAAGCCGAGTACATTCTGCTCTCACAATTAGGCAGCTAAAAATATAAGGATGGGGGAGGTGTCTGTGGTCAGACCTTAGGGCCCCACACACCCCCAACCCTCACCCAGCCTTACAGCCCCTCAAGGGGCAGGCAGGGAGAGGGGGCAGATCCCCAGCATATGTACAGGCAGGGAGAGGGTGTACAGGCAGCTGCCACCCTGGATGGGGCAGAGCTGGAAAGGTGATGCTGGTGCTGCTGAATAACCCCAGCCAGTGCCCTGACCCAAGGTGGAGTGAGGCTCCTCTGCCCATGTGGTTGAACCTGACTCCTGCCACCTCAAAAACAGAAGTAGAATCATCCATCCCTGGCCCACACTGCATTGCTGCCTTGGCTTGGGCACAAACTGCACCAGGGCAAACACCAGGCTCACAGCTGCAGCCATGCCCTGGCCTGGATCCCTTTGGAAGTGCAGCCACAGCCAGAGGGTCCAAACCCCTCACAGGAGCCCTTCACTCCTATCAGGGAAACAAGCAAAGACAAAGCCTGCCTTGGCCTGGAGCACCCACATCAGACACCTCTATCTCCATCTTTTTTGTGCATTCTCCCAGGCACCTCCAAAAGCTGACTAAGTACTGATCTGCATCTTTAGGCAGCTAAAGACCATAGAGAATCCAGCCTAATCACAACGGTTGTGCTTCAAAGCCACTTAAGCTTAAGCTGGATTTGGATTTAGTGTGTGGCTGAATTAGGGACCCACTTGAAACTTCAAATAACTGCTGAGCTGGGTGATGAGTGAGTTAGCTCTGAGCAGGGAGGTGGGCTCTGTGCCCCAACAGCCTGGTCTCCTCCCAGGAAGGCACTCCCAGTGCTCAGCTGGTGCCCCTATGGAGTGGATGGGGAGGAGAGCTGGAGGGCTCACTGCACAGCAGTGAGTGTCCACATAAATGTCTAGCCCTCCAGGTTTTGCTCCACTCACCTGGGCAGTTGGCATGGGAGATCTCAAGCTGCCTCTCCACTGGTGGGGCACCAGCACTGAGCATCCTCCCCTGCCGTCGCTGCAGTGTCCTCATGAAAGTCAATGAGAGCCCAATCCCTCCCCAGCCATGAATTTCCTCCTGTGCTGCTACAGCAAACAACTCTCTCCTTTTTTTTTCTTTTGGCCAAAGGCTGTATAGCATCTCCATGGCGACTCTAAAGCTTAATGTATTCTTGCTGATTTAAGTGATTAATGCTCCAGCGCGTGGCCAGCAGCCGAGCAGGTGCAGCCCAGCCTCTCTGCAAAAAACCTCATGACCAATTCATTTTCTAACCAGCTGGCTGCCAAATTTCATGCCATCCCCATGAGTGGCAGCCCAGCTCAGGTGCTGCGTCTCATTCCTTTTTCATCCCTAACCTTGGCAGGCCCTGGATCACCTGGTGACAACAGAGCACAGCAGTGCACGGGAGGGAAGTGCCTGAGCTGAAATGAAAAAGAAACATTAAGCCCCGCAGGAAGAAACGTGCTGGGCCAGTTCACAGGGCATCACAGGGACAGTGATGCTCACAAGGAAGGTGTAATATGGGTTACAGCTGGGGATGAGCTTGGTTGATCACCTACAGTGCAGTTCAGGGCAGGAGGGGAATAGTGCAATGCTCTCACAGCCTGTGCCATGTTTTATTCCCTCATGGATCCTCTCCTCCTGGGACTATAATATTCACTGTAATCCTGGAGCCTGCACAACTGCCTGACAGCAGTGGGGGCTCAGAGAAGACCCCAGGACAGGAGGGGATCCCTCCAGAGACTCCAACAAGCACTCCAGATAGGGATGAGCTGGGGGTCACTCAGCATCCTGAGTGACACAACTCAACCACAATGGGAACTATCCACCCAAGCAGCTGAGGGACATCACGGCCTCAAGTGGGACCAGTCATGGCCATGGGTGAAATTCTGTGCTGTGCCAAGGTTGTGTTGCCCTCCCCCTCCTCAGGCTGCTCAGCTCTGCTCTCCAGCTTGGCTGAGGAAGGCTCAGCTGTAATGACTGATGCTGCTCTGCAATTATGCACTTTGCAAGCCTCTGATGAAAGTACTTTAGAAATATTATACATTCATCTGTAAGTAAAATAAAATCTACTGGAGTGGTATTTTGCTCTTTTCTTCTCTGGGTAAATTCCACTTCATTTATTACATTATATTTGTACGTATTTCCCCAGTACATTCTTCCCTTGGAAAATTCATATTTAAAATGCCATATAAATAAAGTATCTCCTCCAAATATTTGTAGAGGGATTAAACGTGGCACATGGCGTTATTAAAGCATCAAAACTATTAGTGGCATAGATAGCCTGAACAAATTACACCACATAAATTCCAAAGGCTTCTTTGGATTCAATGGCCAATGAAAGAGCAAAGCTGCCCTAAAACTAAGGGAGAAAACTCATCCACAAACTTGTCCTGTCCAGGGGAGGAGGTTTGGCAAATGGGATCCAGGGCATCTCTTGCTGTCCCAGTGCTCACCAGTGACCCATCCCCACTGGGGGATGGTGCACTGGGTTTGTTTTTCCCTCTAAATCCTCCCTGTTAAATTTTACCCTCTAAACCTTGGAGTTTGAGCCCCTGTGCTTTGCAGGCTGCATGACAACCTGCTCTGGACAGGGCTCCTCATCTAGTGGGAAACCAGGTTGCTCAGAAACTCCTCTGAGATGAGATCCCCCCAATCTTATCTCAACACACACATTTTGCAGGGTGTTGTGCCTGTTCTGCCACAACCAGCCTAATAACACTGCAGAAAAATATCAAACCCAATAGCACTTGAAAGAAAATTTCTCAAGCAACATTTTGGGATTTCCCAGAACAGTTTTTTTTCATTTCAAGATATTTTGATGTCAACTTCACTTAGCCTCTGCCTGGGGCTAGTCCCTGTTCTGTGTTGGCAATGCTGTGGATTGGTGCTCCACAGCAAGCTCCTGCCAAGGTCTCTGTCTCATGGAGGCACTTTTATCCCTCCTTTGGGGGGTAAAAATTGATTGGATGGGGTTTGGAGCAACCTGGTCTAGCAGAAGGTGTCCCTGCCCATGGCAGGGGCTTGGAACTGGATTATCTTTGAGATCCCTTCCAACCCAAACCATTCTGTGAGTCTATGGAGAGGGAGACAGGGGAATGTGCTACCAGCTGGAATTGCTCCTGCCCTCACCCACCCTCTGGCACCACCTCATGCTGCCTTACCATGTCTGTCAGTGCATGGGGAGACCCAACAAAGACTGAGATGACCTGTAAGAAAAGCAAAATTGAAAGTGTGCTTTGCCCTGTCAGGCAAAGGCCTTTTCCAAGGGTGTTTTGCAAAATAAAAAAATTTTAAAAATTCAAAATGGCCAATACCTTGTCCTTCTCAAAGTGAACCACATCACTAGCACAGGGCACTCTGCCTTTATCCCAGTTGGAAGAAGTTTCAAAGTTGGTGTTGGGGATCCACTGCTTGTACCTGGCGGTGGCAGCAGCTGTGAAGAGCAGAGAAACCAGTGTAACCTAGTCTGCGGGAGGCACTGGGAGCCCTCTCTGGAATGTGCTTTGAAATGGTTTGGCCTTTTTTGGGCCAGATTAGGGGATTTTTCCACCCAACAGCAGGTCCTGTGTGTTCCCAGCTGGGCAGTCACATCCCTTCTCTGCACAGGGGACTTTATTTGTCTGAGTGTTGTTTTTTACCCACCCAGACACAAAAAGGAGTAAAGGGCAAATACTTGGCTGGCAGAGGGAAGGCAGGAGAGTCCTGTAGGCAAAGGACAAGAATAAAACACACCTGATAGTTAGGCAATCCTTGCAGTAGGTTTTGTTGTGACACAGACTAATTAGATATGTAGAGATCCCTCAACCTTTGGTTTCCAGTGGGTACAGAGTGGGCACACAGAGCTGGCAGGACCATGAGGCCAGTGCAAGAGGAGAAAGAGCATTTGCTATGGGACACATAACACAAAACACAGGCTGGTTTCACCTGTTTGGTGCTAGAGGGGGAGGATTCAGTGGTGTCCTGCAGCCCAAGGCATCAGCAGGTTGGGAAACAGGAGTATTCCCCAATGGCTGGGAACAGGACATGGCAGAGGTGGTTTTCACTCTGATCTGCTCTGTTTGTACAAGCACACAGAGCAAAATGCCTCCCAACCTGACATTGCTGAGGTTTGGCTGGGGGATGCAGGCTCAGCTGAAGATTAATCTCCAGCAGCCTGAATTAAATGGCTTCAGGCAAGTGAGTTATGAGACAGAGGAGAGGGGGAAAAAAATCCCAACAAGGTAACCCTTTATCCTTATTATGGATCTTCTGTAAAAGAAAGACTTACAAAACTACAAAATATGTAGAAAGGCAGCAGTGGAGGGGACTGGGGCACTAGAGGTGGAGAGGGGCCATGAAGAGGGAGAGGGTTCTGAACAATTCCAGCTGATGGAGGGAGCTGCACTGCAGAAAGACTGGGTCTAGTTCAAATGATCGGGAGGGATGTAGTTTCAGAGGTTTGATCAGCACACAACGATTGCCTTGGGGTGTAATTTGCACTGTCTGCCTCTGCCAAGGGCTGTGCTGAGACCATGTGCTGGAGGTAGCCACTGCCAGATGAACAGGAAACGATGTATTTTTAACCAGAATGAAAGCTCTAATGTAGGAACTGGGGCTGGAGCCCAGGTGCAAGGTGCACAGGGGCTCCCCCAGCCTTGTGCCAGGCTGCAGCCACTGCCTGGAGGAGCCTTCAGGCAGAGCCAACAATCCCCTGCCACCTCCTCTTCAAAACCCTCCGAGAGGGGAAAAGACACTCACAGTGGTAAGAACAGGAGCCAAGCAGCTGCTTGCAGTGTAGTAGGCACAGACACCTTGCTGGCTCAGAGTTCAGAAGAGCTTAAGGAAGGAAAAAGCCCTCAGACGGTAATGGCAAGTTGTTCTGTCCCTGCTGTGGTTGACTCGTATCCCTCCCACCAAGAGAAGCCAGGGAAAGGAGAGGTCAAAGCTCCAGCCAGAAGGCTCAGGCAGCCCCATCACACACATATGCCTCCCATCCCGCAGCTGCAGGCTGCTGTGTGGAGTGAGCTCCCAGCACAGCACGGAGATGGCTCTGCATCCCACCTGGCTGCAGCAGCATCTCCTTCAGCCAGAGCTTCACCTCCTGGAGCAAAGCCTTTAGCCCAGTGTAGCAGTGCTGATGGATTCCTCCCCAAGCCTGGAAATACCAGCCTGCTATTTAATCAGCCCTGTCTCCCGGGATGCACAGTCCTTGAACATCAAAGCAACATGCATATTCAACAGGGAGCGTGTCCTGCAGCGCAGCGCTGCTGACTTCAAATGAGAGGCACAGCAGGCACCACATGGCTATCCCAGCATCAATCCCCTGCCTTCCCTCCCCCTGTCAGGCTGGAAATGCCTTTCCCCGTTTGGGTTACAGATATACCTTAGGTGACAGAGCCTACAACCCTGCTCCAACACAGGATTGCCCAGAACACCCCCCAAATGGGCAAGTCACCCAGTGGCCACCCCCTGCTCACCATGGTGCCCAGGCTCTGGGTGTACTCACCAAGGAGCTGCAGGATACCAAGGAAGAACAGGCACTTCATTCTGCAGGAGGCTGCTCTCCCTTCCCTCCACGGCCCCTGCCCAGGTGGACCTTGCACCCTCCCTAGGGGCACGTGATGGGCTCAGGCTGTAGGGAGTAAACCAGTATAGGAAGCAGGTTTTCCCCAGCATGAGCCACAGCCTCTGTTAGAGCTGCTGTGCCTTCAGCTCCTTTCCCAATCTCCCCTTTTCCATGAAGAACCTAGGAGAGATGCTGAGGAAGGAGTTGGGGAGGCAAAAGTGAGGGTCTCCCCAGCTTGGCTCACCAGACTCCACTCACCATCCACCCATCCAGGTCCAGCTAAAGGGTGGTGAGGGTGAACACACTGTGTGCCCATCCCAGGCCATTCTCCCTTGCTGAACCATGGCTACCTTGTAATTACTAATAATGGCCTCAATGTATTTTCAATTAACTCCCTTGGAAGGGAGCAGCTCCCAGGCATGGCTTGTAATTGTACTTTGGCCACCAGCTGATTTGATGATTACCCAGCACACGCTGCCCCGAGGAGGCTGCTGGCAGTGGCACCAGCACATGTGGATGCAGGAGGAAGGGGCAGGACTCCACCATCCCTGTCCTCTGCTGCAGTGTGGAGCAGTGCTGCATGCCAGTCCAGACCCAAGTCTTCACCAGAGGTGGGGGGAGAGCAATGACATCTTGGTAAGGTGACAGAGGCCAATGCCAAGAGGAGAGTTGGAAGGCGTAGCAGCCCTTCAGCTGACACTGATAACAGCAGGGTGAGAGTAGAAGATTTATGAATGCAGGGATTACTGGAGGCCAGGAGGAGACTGGAGAACTGCTTGGAAAGGACATTAATGAAGGCGTAACAAACCACAAGAGGCTCTGACCTGACATTACCCAAAGGAATGGGCTGAAGTTGTGTCAGGGAGGGTTAGGCTGGAGATTAACTACTGGTTCCTTCTTTCCCCCAGAGGTGTTTGGGCACTGAACAGCTCCCCAGGGCAGTGTCACAGCCCCAAGGCTGACAGAGCTCCAGAGGAGTTTGGCCAATGCTCTCAGGCACAGGGTGTGATGCTCAGGGATGTCCTGTGCAAGGCCAGGAGTGGGACTAGATGACCCTCAAGGGTCCCTTCCAACTCTGATTATTCTGTAATTCTGTGATATTAGCAAGGATTTAGGAGTGCAGGAGGGAGAAGCAAGTCATCCCTATGCCACCCTTTGTTCTCACCCTGCTTCCCACTTGGCAGACCAGGGGAGAATGGGGACCAGGAAGTCATCAATCCTGGGTATTGTCTCTGTCTCCCAAAACCTTAACCCCCTTGGTGCCATTTCCCAGCTCTGCTGCAAAAGCAGGAGTGAGAAGATCCATGGGGCTCCTCTGTCCCTGGGATGCCCCAGCACAGTCGTGGGTGATGCACTGTGCCCTGCAAAGGAACATGGAGCTGCCCCTGCCTGGAGCTCTGTCCCCACCAGTGTCACAAGTGTGGCCCATGATCTGCCAGGAGAAAGAGCTCCTGAGCAGCAGCTCTAAGCCTGGGTGTCAGCCAAAACACAGTCAGCACTTTCTGCGCAGGGAGCTCAATGCTGAGACATGTCCTCGAGGTGAAAGGCTCCTGCACTCTCATTACCACTCACAAATCTGTCCCAGGGGACTCTCGGGGTGAATGCTGGCTGCAGTGAGATGCCCTGTATTTTAATAGAGGAGGGGAAGATATAAGTCATGGATACTCAGCAGTAACAGCTTGGAGAAAGGTCTGCAGTGTGCAGGTGCCTGCTAGCCTGTGGGCTCAGCATCCAGCAGCGTGGCTGGGGCAGGCAGGACGGGAGAAACTGCTCATGGGACCCTGTGCAGAGATCAGTGCCACAGCTCCTGGAACACAGTGTTTCAGGGATGCTCCACACCCTTAGTTTTACTTTTTGTACCCTGCAGCAGCTACTTCTCAGTGCTGCTTGTTTCAGCTCCTCAGCACCTCTGGTCCCACCAAAACTGATACTTGATCTTACATGAGCCAGGATTCATCTGGCAAGCAGGCAGAGGTCTGAAATTCCCAGTCTGTCCTGAATTCAAAGGGCCTGTGGAATCCTGCCTGGGGATGTACAGCTCCTGCTCCCTCTGCTCCAGTGTTAGGGTAGGACAGGGCAGGGCAATGCCAGAAATCCCAGCAAATCTTGTATTCCTGGGGCCAGCTGATCACTGCAAGGTTACTGCTGGAGGCCAGGGCACAGAATAACTTGCCCCTTGGTGTGGGTCTCTCCCTGGGGCCTGAACATGCTCCTCTCCATCCCAGCTTTTGTCTCTGCTGCTGTCCCAAGGTGCTGCTGTGCCTTAGGACCAGGCAGGCACAATGGGAGGCTGCAGAGGAGGAGGTTTGGAAAGAGAGAGCCAAATGAAGATGAAAGCAAGGAGAAATCAGTCCCCAGAAACTAAAGCAGCTGCCCTAATGCAGAGATCAGCACATTTTACTCCCTGCTGCTCCCCCATCCAGATACCACTGGGAGGGCGAGCACAGCACCACCACAGAGGGCAAACAGCACACAGTGGATGCTTTACCTTCCCACCACTGAGTTATAAACTGGTATCAAAGCCAGGAACACTGGCCAGCAAAGCCACCTCCTAAAACCCATCAGGGCTGTGGCTTCAGACAGAGGGGCGAAGGCAGAGACACACCAAAATCAGCTGGCTGCAAACCCTCAGTGCCAAAACGACCTCCCTGCAGGGGCTGGGCTACCCAAGCACTCTCCTGTGCCAGTCTCCTTGGCACAGTGCAGCATTGCTTAAGGTTTGAACATGAAGCTAATCCTAAAAAATGGGGAGAAACACCCTGGCAGGTGACAGCTGTGACATCTCATAGCTGCCCTCAAAGCAGGCAGCCCCTACCAGCAACCAGAGAAAAATCCCCGGGTGGGATTTCCTTTAAGTTCAGGAAACTTAGCAAGTCTCGGGTGGAACAGCACAATCTATACTGCCAGAACCAATCCCTGGTGGCAGAGCAGCTGTGTGTTCATGACCTCATTTCAGAGCTGGCCAGGAGCTAAAGCTCAATATCCAGTCAATCTGTGGAGTTAAACCCTCTTTGTAGCTCCACATCAATTCAACAAGAGGAACTCACCTGGTGCTCACAGGTCTCCAGCAGCCACAGTCACCTTCCCCTCCAGGCAGCAAGGCAGGAGAAGTCACTGGAGGGGATCACATTTGACCTCAGAGCCATCTGGAAGTCACACTCCACCTCTCTTCTTATCTTGCAGTGTAAAGCAGGGAAACAAGAGCTTCCTGCTGGGGGTGGCTGCAAGGAGCAGCTATGGAGCAAGACCTGTGCAGGGATGTGAGCAACCAGGTTTGCTTCTCAGCCCTGAGCCCACTCCATCCAGCCCCACACAGGGCTGAGAGTTCTTTTTACCCTCAGAGAACTGAGGGTCACTTACCAGCCATCACTACTTACCCTGGGAGCACCATGTCTCACCTGTGTTCCTGCAAGCTGACAGCACAAGATATGCCAAGGCAGATACCATTTCTACCAGTCAGGCAGAAATATCTGGTAGAAATCCAAATAGTCTCCTCTGTGAAGCTTCCGTGTTGGCCCTTGAGCACCCACAGCAATGTCTGCAGACAGCTTCTGCCTCCAATCACACAGCCACACTGCCAAAACACATTTCCACCAGCTGCAACCAGCACCACCAGCTGTGGCCAAACATTGCTCAACCCAAGGTGGAAGTCAGTCATAGAGTCATGGAATTTTAGAGGTTGGAATGGATCTTACAGATCATCCAGCCCCAACCCCCTGCCCTGGGCAGGGACACCTCCCACCAGAGCAGGTTGCTCAAGGCTCAGCCACCCTGGCTGTGAACACTGCCAGGGTTGGGGCAGCCACAGCCTCCCTGGGCAACCTGGGACAGTGTCTCACCACCCTCACAGGGGAAACTTCTGCCTAAGATCTAACCTACATTTCCCCTCCTTTGATTTGTGCCCATTGCCCCTTGGCCTGTCCCTGCAGCTCCTAACACAGATCCCTCTGCAGCTTCCCTGGAGCCCCTTCAGCTCCTGGAAGGGGCTCTGAGGTCTCCACACAACCTTCTCTTCTCCAGGCTCAACAGCCCCAGCTCCCTCAGCCTGTCCTCACAGGGAGATGCTCCAGTGCTCTTAGCAACTTCGTGGCCTCCTCTGGACTTACTCCAACAGTTCTGTGTCCTTCTTATGCTGAGGACACCAGAACTGTGTGCAATGTTCCAGGTGAGGCCTCACGAAAGCAGAGTAGAGGGGGAGAAAACCCCTGGGGTGTCTCCTGTGTTTATCAGCCCAGTGGATGAGAACAGCTCCTGGCTTGGGCTATTCCCCATTCTTGGGACCCTACAAGGGCACACAAGAGCATGTGCTGAGATCCAACGTTCACCACTGCCAGAGGTCACCACAAAGGAGTGGTGATCTGGGTGGGCTCGGCCTCCCCAGGTGCCACTTTGTCAAGGGGTCAGGGAAGACACTTGGGTTGTCACCTCTTTTGGCCAAACAAGACAGACACATTATTCGACTGTGACAGCCTCCAGGGCTCAACCCAGGCATGCAGGAAGGAAAGACACAACTGATTCATGGAAAACCAACTCTGGGGAAGGACAGGGGAAATCACCTCTTTCACCACTTGTTTATACTTGCCCCTTCCTCAGGACTTAGTGACACCAAGGCAGGCACAGAGCAGGACATACACAGGTCCATCCACAAGACCAAGAAGTTAGAGGTTTTGAAAATGCGTCTTACCACACAGGAAGCAAAACCAAGGCTTGAAACCCTGAAAAACTTAGCAAAAATGTTAAGAAGCCCTCTGCAGTTCCTGCAAGAGATGGGGCCAGCAGCAGTTGTGTCTCCCAGCACCTTCTGTGGTCCAGGAGCAATCCTCACCCCACTCTCCCCATCTGCTCAGAACTCCAGAGCTGGCACTGAGCTCCCATCACCCTAAATCCTCTATCACCCACGGGGGGGAAAGCCCACCACAAAGCTGACAGTCACCTTCTGTGACCTGTCATTAAGAAGAAACCTTTCATTAAGCCTCATTG